TGCCCCTGGGAGCTGTTGGCCTGAGTGTCCTGGTCCCAGGTGCTCCAGGAGAGACCTCGCCCCGCAGCCTTCCTGGGCCTTCCTGGGCCTGCAACACTCGCTGGCACAGAGCCACTGCTTACCACTGCAGTTGTGGTGCCCGCGGCTCCTGGTGTGGGGGACCTCGGTGCCGTTGGGGAAGACGCACCAGCAGTAGCCGATGCTCCCGTGGCACTGGAGCGGCATGTAGTTGCCGTTCTCATCACACTTGGGCCTGAACGTGCCCGGGTGGACGGCGGGGATGCGGCTGACCTCCTCCTGGCACTTGGTCAGTGCTGAAGCGACAGGCGTGATGAAGACAGGGTGAGTGAGTGGGCTCAGCTAGGGGCCACTACTGGGTGCTGGTGTCGGCCCAGCGTCTCCACCCACTGCACAGACCAGCCTCGACCAACAAGGTCCCGAACTAAAGAGGAAGTGGAGGGCTGTGTCTCACTGATCCAGAGCTTCTGACACACCGAGCCCGTTAGAGCCAGAGATGCCCTACGATCCTGATTGCAGGCATGCACCTTGGAAAGCGTGCGCTTCCTGTCACTGGGGGTGCTGCGTAGACATGGGAGTTAGCATCCCATGGGTGTGGAAGGGATTCGAGCATTGGCTAGGAGTTGGTTGGGTTAGCATGTGAGGTGTCTTTATGAACCCGAGAAACAGGCTCAGGGCAGGTTGGCCCATTGACCTGCCACTGAAGGACCCTGGAGCCCAGGGGAAAGAGATTGGTCCTAAGTTGCACAGCAGACTAGAGACCGCGGCATGATGAGAACAGCCTCTTAAAGGCCTTAGTGCACATTGCCGTGAGGTGGGGTGAGGTGGGAGGCGACCAAGGGTCCCTGCTGTGGCACTCACTGGTGACCTTGACCACCCGCCCCCCACCCCCTGGAATTGCAGAGGGCAGTGCAGGGGGAAGTCGTTAGGAGGGCTGCTGCCTGGTAGGTTTCAGGTTGGTTTTGCTCTAGACCCCCTTAGGCAGTGTCATCCTGCACAAAGGAGGTCACCTCACAAAGGGGGGCCCTGTACCACCTGGGCCCTTCCATGTAAAGAAACACCCACGGGTAAGATGGGGTGGGGGCAGTCAAGCAGGAGAAGTGAGAGGGTGGGAGGTTCCGCAGTCCTCGATCAGGGAGTGCCGTAGCCCTGGCCCCCAAAGCTCCCACTTCTGTACCTTTTGTCGGCGGCTCAGTGGGCTTCTCCTCCATGGAGTTCTTGCTCATTTCAAACAGGAGCCACTGGTGCATCCAGCTCTCGAAGACCTAGTGGGGACAGAGGTGGTGGCGGTCAGCTCATCGCCAGGCCCCCGTGGAGTCCTGCTGCAGCCGGGTTGCCCCTCAAGGACCCGTGAGACATCTGTCCAGGTGATTCTCAGTTCCAAGCACTCTGGTACTCAGGGCTTTGTAGGTGCTAGTAAGTCCCTAGTCCCACCGCTCCCCGGCCCCACCTGAGGTACTAGGGGGAGAGGGTTTCAGTGCAGAAGCCACCGACCTTCCAGTCCATGGTTTCCATGGTGCTCTTCAGGTGCTTCAGGTTCTCTGGGAAGCTTCCCTTCAGCTGTGGGTACACCTTCAAGGGGTCAGCCTTCTGCAAAGTGACAAGGTTGGGAGATTAAAGAACTCCCTGGTGGCCAGGTGAAATGTGTAGCTCACATTCCCCCGGGTTTCCCTGCCGAGAACTGTCCCTCAGCCGTGATGGGAGGGCAGAGGGGCAGTCAGTTGCATAGCACCAAGACCCCCGGGCCGAGACTCGGGCTCCAGGTTCCAGGTCAGCTCTACGATAACCCCTGGTCGTCTTCCTGTTGACGCCCACTCCCCACACCGTCCGCACTTCCTCACCGCCTGGCCACTTTGTTCCCCCGGGTTTCCCTGCCGAGAACTGTCCCTCAGCCGTGATGGGAGGGCAGAGGGGCAGTCAGTTGCATAGCACCAAGACCCCCGGGCCGAGACTCGGGCTCCAGGTTCCAGGTCAGCTCTACGATAACCCCTGGTCGTCTTCCTGTTGACGCCCACTCCCCACACCGTCCGCACTTCCTCACCGCCTGGCCACTTTGTCTCCCACACTGCCTGGGAGCCCATGGCTGTAGACGCGGGACCCAGAGCCTTGCCTAGTGCCTGACAGAGCTGACATGCAGTAAGTGTAGGAAGGAGGAAAAGGGCGCCGAGCAAGGCACTTCAAAATTTTGGGTCTTGGTTTCTCCATCTCAGAAATGGTGGGTGGGGGGAGCCAGCCTGTGGCCCGATGGTTAAGGTGGCTGGATCCCACATGGCCAACTGCATGGTTTAAGTCTCATACCCCCCACATGGCCAGCTGCATGGTTTAAGTCTCATACCCTGTAGCACAAAAACCATGTTGGGCATGTGTGCACACATGCCCAAAATCCCAGGCGAAGAATGGAGAAGGGATTGCAGCATTTCCCATGGGAAGTGTTCTCTTCCTGTCTCATGAGAGCACACACCCTCTGTCAAATGAAAAATTAATGGGGGTGGGAAGCTGGACTGCACATGAAATTTAAGGGTCATCCTTCATTCCTTCAATAGTTCAGTGAGCACGCCTTGAGAGTCGGGTGAGCCAGGCACGGTGCAGGCCTGGAGCTCGGCCTTCCGGGTGCTGTATGGGCAGGCAGGGCTGTCCCACCAGCTCCTCGCACTCACCAGGAGCAGGTGCATCACGTGGTCCTGAGTCATGTTCCCGTACTTGGTGGCATTCTGCACGGGCTGTGGAAGAGAGGAGCAGGGTTACCAGCACTGCTTCCTGGAAGAGGAGGCCAGAGCAGGAACCAGCAGCTGGGTACGAGTCTGGAGCTCCAGGCACCCAGCAGGCCCATCTCCGTCACCTCCAAATGTGAGCACTCGAGCAGGTCACTCTGCCTTCCTGCCTTAATGACTCATGGGTGTAACGGGCGCAAGCTCCCCTGCCCTGGGATCTGTCAAGCAGTTTTATGAACAGAAGCATTTTCAATATGTAATATCAAGGGTGTGGGGTTGGAAGGGGACTGTAAAATGATAGAAGAAATGAGGCATTCTTTGTAAACCATTGGGACCTGGACCCTCTTCTCAGGGACCCTCAGAGGCTCCTCTCCCTGCACCAGCCCTCTTCTTCCTGAAATAGACCCTGGCCTTCCTCCAGCAGTGAAGACCTCCCCCGCCCAGCTGGGCTTGTCCGGGGTCAGTCATCCTCCCCTTCCCCTCCCCTGGGCACCTGCCCCCATCCAGGCTAGGTAGCATTGCCCTCTTGCCCTCGCATGGCTCTGCTCCCCTTACCCCCTGGGGCAGGCCATCCATGGGCAGCGCTCTCATCAGCAGTGGGGTGGCCATCCGCATCTTGCTCAGAGGCTTGGCGGCTGTGGGGCAGAGCACAGCGTGAGTGCGGTCCCAGTGCCCAGACAGACCCCAGACCCCAAGGAGGGAAGGCTAGAGTTCCAGGCCCGAGGGAGGGGGCAGTGGGCCCAGGGGCAGGGAGGGCAGTGGTCAGGATGGAGGAGGGTACGCACGCTTGGGCAGCTTCATGCGCAGGTTCTCCAGCTGCAGGTTCTGGGAGGTGACCGTCAGCTTGTGCAGCTGGCCCTGCTGCTGGTACAGGAAGTAGGCAGTGGTGGCCTGGCCAGCCAGGAGCAGAGCCACCAGGACGGAAAAGCCCGTGTACAGGGCTCCGCGGCCGCACTTGCTGTTGGGGAATTTGGGGAGAGGTCAGATGAGAGGCCATGGAGGGGGAACCAGCAGTTAGCGTAATGACTATGTCGCCGGACTCCCACGTAGTCGACCGTGGTTCGCGTCCCGGACTCGGTGGCTTAAAACTCACACCGGGTGTGTATGTGTGCATGCCCAAGATCCCGAGAGGAGAATGGAGGAGAAGGGATTGCGGCGTGACCATCCCCCCTGGGG